TGCAAGCGGCTCGCTCCCCACAACTGCATGCATCCCATCCCATCGCTTCAAGTGCTAAGCTTCCTTTCCCGATATGCACGTGATGACATCTGCTCAACGGCTGCAGACACGAGAAGTCCCACTCACTTGCAGTCTTGCAAATGCTGCCGCCCGCACATCTGTCCGCATTGCCAAGTTCCAGGGCTTCTTTCCTTCCCTTCCCTTTTGCTTTTCTCGGCATTTTCTATTGTATACGTGCACCCTGGAAGGAGAATCAACCAACAGCCAAGGAAGCCACTGACCATACGCAGGCGCTGCCCCGTCCGGAAGGTTTCCTAGACTGAGCAAACGCTCAACAGCTGCTACTTTGCACGCAGCCCTTTCCAGCATAGCCCAATCATCACCCTTAGCTAGCAAACAACCAACAGCCAAGGAAGCCACTGACCATACGCAGGCGCTGCCCCGTCCGGAAGGTTTCCTAGACTGAGCAAACGCTCAACAGCTGCTACTTTGCACGCAGCCCTTTCCAGCATAGCCCAATCATCACCCTTAGCTAGCAAAATCCATCCGTCTCGCCATGCCATGAAAATAACGCGTTGCATATCTTCGAATCGAGCAGCTGACAATAAGGCGATACCAATGCTCTAACCGTCTGCATCATGAAGTGAAGACGACACCAAGGCTCTAACCGTCTGCAGCATGAAGTGAAGAGGCTAGCGTCATTCGCGTTCACGTACAGGCTTCAAGCCGAGTGGCAATGAGAAATACATCAAAGCCAAAAACGCTGTTTCGGAGCCTTTGCACAAAATAGCTCAACCAATGTAGACACAGTGCGCAACATGGAGCTGACACTGTACCTCGTGGCTCTCCAAGAAGAGTGTTGCCGTTCATCAAAAGGCACCGGAGAACGAATGAAGTAGAAGTGGCGTGTTTGGTGCGTACAGTAGGGGCACCGCTTCATGCAGCGACATGATATCACACCGATAATGATGAGAGTTGAAATTGTGGAGCCAGCTTGCCCACGCAATGTCACACAAAGGTTTTCTCCTTGTCCAGGCCTCCAATGTCTGCATTCCACACACGTACAGGCTTATCCATTCAAATTTTGCGAGTCGCTAAGCGACGCTCGATGACACCACAATAATCACTTCACGACTCCACGCGAACGCCATGTTGACGCTGGACCAAGTCTGCCAGTTGTTGCCTGCGTGTTGCCTGCCTTACGTATCCGGAACAGCACAAGCTCTGGATCCATGTCTCTGTCGCCGCTAATCGTTCAACACAATAAAGGCATCCTGCCCACAACCACGTAGCTTGACTCACTCCAACATCTAGTGCAAGGCAAAGGAGGCACAAGTGCTGCTCAACAAACCTACCAAAGACCTGCACGCAACCCTAAAGAACGTGCGGCAAATGAACAAAACATATTCCCCGACTCTGCGACGCCCTAAACCGCTTGCAGGCACCTTGCAAAAGTTGCGCGTACTCCCTTCAACATCGGCTCATTTTCCGGACAACACGCGTCGCAATTGCTCCGCGAAACTCGAGTGCAATGCATAAAGAGTCCCACGTAAAAACGTCGGCGTTAGTTCGCATCATGCAACTGACATCACAGTGTGGCGCGTGCCCGAGTCGGTCTTTGCTGTGGTCAGCAGAGCGATGCGGCGAGTGCGTTTTAGTTCATATAAAAACGCCGTCGTAAAAAAAAGTGTCGCTAGTAATTTCGAAGACAGCAGAGGCAGACAAACCAAATTATGGATGACAGCATGGGCCTGAGCAGCGCTTCCTTCCCTGGGTGTGTTCGCCCTAATCCATCATATATTTGTGACAACTCATTACTTACTGGTACATCTTCCGCACTCCATATATCGCCTGAACTACGCAGCTACCCCTACACGCCGGAACGTAATAGCATAGGCTTCCACATACAGGCTGCATAAAACGAACAAGATGACACATCATGTATCTACGATCTAATATCAGACTTCTGCTTACCAATCTAATCGAAAACTGTTGTTTCTCACCACCGACCGGCAAAACCGCCTATGACGTCGTTTTATCAAGCCCTCATCACTATCATTTCCGAACAAAAGTGTGGCAATCATACGACTAAAAGAAACGTGCTCCACTTTCTCATGCCCGTGCATAACAGTGCATATGTGTGGTGCAAGCTTTACGTTTGAACTATATTACTTCTGCTCGTACACGAGTGGAAGGCACGCTACTGGTCGATCATGATGATCGCTTGTTTCAGAAACGTCGCATTCGTTGCCACTTTTATGAGCTATGAGACACAACATTTCTCATCCAGTACACTGAGGTTCTGCAAGCAAGCATTGCAAATTTTCTACACCTACCGGCTACGGAGAAACACGCCATGAATGTTACGTTGCTCACTGAGTGTTGCGAAGCTTGCTCTTCTGATGCCTATAGCGAACAACATCAGCAGAGCAGCTTTCTTCTAGCCGACAGTGCTTGCAACGTATGCTCGGCGCAATCCATGAGTCCGTTCAAAGGGGAGACTCGCGTGTATTTCTTGCAACCAACTATGCTTTCTGTTGACGCGAATAACGCGATTTGTGTGAACGTAGACAGCAAAATGCATGCGTCTTTTCTCTAGTTCAGAATTGTATGCAGTCCAAATGATTGTTCGGTACCGAGTACACCGATTTGCGTAGCATAATTACATGACGTCTACTGTTGACGGGCGGACTAGAAGAGTTTCGCTTTCTCACAAAATAGACAGTACAAGGTACGCCGCCCACCGAAAGGACGTTTCAAGACGACCCAAGCCACCTCTCAAGGCCTTTTTTTCAATCTACTCGTACTCCCTGTCAAGCCGTGCATTTGGAATTATCGCATGCATAGTGCGTCCACTGCTAAACAGGATGAGTGCTTTATGAGGAAAAAATCACTGTTTGCACTACGCCTTGTGGTCCCCCACAGTAACCTCGCAACGGGCTGATGAAGGAACGCATAGACAACAACCTGAATGAATCAAGGTGTGGCGTGAACATACCGGGCGCTCATTTGCCACATTGCATGCATCTCTTCCAAGTGCTCAGCTTAATTTTACAGCCTTTTCGCGGGGCCATCCGTTCTGCAACATTTGTATTTCATTGCTAGAAGAAGTTTGCGAGGTGCTCCCATTACTGCGTTTGTGAAGCTACGCACGCGCGAGTAGTTGTTTTGCCAGGGCTCACGCGCGGTACTCTTCAGGCATTCCTTGCGGCATCATTCTTATTTACAGCATACAATGAATGTGGTGCGATTTAGACCGCAGAAGAGATGACAAGCCATGTGCACACAGTGACATACAACAGCGAGGATTCCGAACAACGCAATTTGATTACTATCAAACAGTCGCAATTGTGATATTTGGCCGGGTGGAAGGTGACAAAAAAGGTTCTGTCAGACGATAGCCCTTTATGAAGAGTTTACTGACAACAGGCACAATAAACTTGATTCCCCTCCTGAGCAAGGACCTTGTGGAAATTTAACTTTATTCCGATTCAGTATGCACAAAGTCCAATCCTTTTCCAGCAATCTGATACCCCTCACATTGCAATTTATATGAACTTCTCAGCAAGAAAAGCAGTATTGCTTCCGGCAGGAAATGCCCAGGTGGGGAAAGTTGTATCTTCACATACAGGCTGCATCCCATAGGGATCTGGTAACTCTTTCACCATCATACGCATAGCGTCAACAGGATTCTTGAGCATTGCGAACAGCAATGATATCGGGAGCATCCACCTCATACAGCGAGCAAAGCTCACAGTATGTATTTGGGCATTTAACCTTCAGGTCTCAACACCGTGGCATAATTGAGGATGACAATCAGAAGTAACAAACGGTTGCAAAGCCAGGGTCAAACAAGGCTTGATTTGTGGGCGCATGCTGCTGAAGTATGCTACCGAACCACTGCAGAAGAGCACCACGCTGAATGTTCGTGGTGGCATTGGGTGAGGCGCACAACAAATTTCATAAAAGGCATGCAGAGCCATCACCAACTGCTCTGTGCAAGCACGAATGGAAAAAGTGCTTCCTGTATCATTCTGCGTACAGGCTTCGGGGTGGTGTGAGCTCGGATATCTTTGAGCTTTTCCAAATTTCTGGTAAGCATTATGGTACTCTGCTCCCTAATAAAGGTATGCGTCGATTCGATAGTACCTGCAAGATTCTACAGTGGCTTTTGGTGCTTTCCGTCGCTGTGAACGCATGAAAAGTAGACACAATCAAAATTACATGGCCCCAAGAGAAGACGGCATTCAACACGAGCAACGCCATTGGCAACTCCTTGATATTGTTTCATATATGTGATCAGTGGAAAATCTGGATGGGCACAGCCATGCCGCATAACCTGGAAACCGCCAAATCAAGATTAGAAGGGAGAAGTCGAAAAGTATTTGACGCCTAACATCCGTAAATGTGGTAAATGTGGGAGCCTCGCTCTGGTCACATCTACTTTCCGTGTTCTTTTGTCTACAGTAACGTACGCCCTGCAGCGCGATTGCACTCCTTTTGAATACCTGCAAGCAATTTGTTTTAGTAAGCGTATCGTCGTGAAAATGGAAGGTAAGGAGT